AGTAGAATAACCAATATCGCGCGTAGTTTAAATGTCCCAACGCAAAGAAGTAGGGCATTATAAGCTTCACTGCTTCCAGGTGTAGTGGCCAATCACCTTCTCGTTCAGCCCGTACATAGAGCATCATTATCAGTACTGGTTTGATCAGGTTGTACCTCTACTGCAACCCTGTACACAATTGTTGATCTGCAGTGAAGACAGTGAAACATTGACCAGTTTTCTCTGTTTAACTGCTGTGATTTGCTCATGGCTATCATCATTGTGTCTGGATGTGCTGGTGGCATATCAATCAATGATAGATACACTGCTTTAGTTTTTGGTTGTGTGGCTTCTCCTTGATTGCGACACAAATGCGTATTATATCCATTGAATTCAGGACAGTTATCACGCTGCAAAACATCTGTCAAGAACCTGAAGTCACACTCATTAGGTCTCTGTCGAGAAACCATATGAGCGAGAACACTAAGTGGTGGAACTTGGTTCTTGACAGGTGGCATATCTGCTTTCCTTGGACCATTGTATCTCATGATGTCAAGCTTGTAGTCAATATCTCGAGACATCACAGCCTTCTTCAGTTGTGAAATCTCTTGCTGATCATCATGGTGCATGCTTGTATCTGGCTGGGTCATGAGAACTGCAAGGGAATGTGTTGACATTTTACTGTTCTGAGATGAAACATCTGCATTAAAGTTGTCAACTACGATCTGAACAAGACCATCTTCAGCACTTGATAATGCTGTCAGTTCAGTGTTTTCCCCTGCCTCTACAGCTGCAGACTTCTTGAATCGTAGCAGATCATCATAGATGTGTGTATGTTCAACAGGGTATCTCTACAACTACATTTGCTTCGAGATGATAGGCTACATGAATTAGCTTTAATTAAAATGCAGCGTATATGTGCATACATTGATTACTTGTTATAGAAGTAGAAATGTACAATTTTTTATGAATCACCCTGTATAAATGTATAAATTGCTCTGCCATCTAAAAACAAGTTTAGAATTATCTAAATATATATCTGGTAAAAAAAAAACCGAAAAAAGGTTCTTAATGCAGCAATAAAACATGACAAAGTATACATTTTCACATATTCCTAGAGCAGAAAACGCCATTTTGGCGGTCATTTTGTTTTTCCTTATAATCACAAATTGCTAAAGGCGATGTGATGATAGGCTACATCAATTAGCTTCAATTAAAATGCAGCTTATATACATCACAAAATATTCAATTTTTTTCAATTTCATTTATTTCCACAGATTCATAAAAGACAATGTAAATTACAATCAAATATAAAAGTATTACAACAAAAGATTAACCTGCAGAGGGGGTGATCAAAACCACAGAGGTTTATCGGGGATCATCCCCTGCTTAAAATTACAATATAAAAATACAATAGTTTTTTTTTAAATTAAACAATAACACATACATGTACGAAAACATATATAGATATTACATGCAAAATATGTTGCCAGAGTGTGTATACATCGATTGCTTGTTATCGAAAAAAAAACATCCTAGTCTTTGATATAATTTTGTTTTTCCTTATAATCTCAAATTGCTAAAGGCGATGTAATGATAGGCTACATCAATTAGCTTCAATTAAAATGCAGCTTATATACATCACAAAATATTCAATTTTTTTCAATTTCATTTATTTCCACAGATTCATAAAAGACAATGTAAATTACAATCAAATATAAAAGTATTACAACAAAAGATTAACCTGCAGAGGGAGTGATCAAAACCACAGAGGTTTATCGGGGATCATCCCCTGCTTAAAATTACAATATAAAAATACAATAGTTTTTTTTAAATTAAACAATAACACATACATGTACGAAAACATATATAGATATTACATGCAAAATATGTTGCCAGAGTGTGTATACATCGATTGCTTGTTATCGAAAAAAAACCATCCTAGTCTTTGATATAATTTTGTTTTTCCTTATAATCTCAAATTGCTAAAGGCGATGTAATGATAGGCTACATCAATTAGCTTCAATTAAAATGCAGCTTATATACATCACAAAATATTCAATTTTTTTCAATTTCATTTATTTCCACAGATTCATAAAAGACAATGTAAATTACAATCAAATATAAAAGTATTACAACAAAAGATGAACCTGCAGAGGGGGTGATCAAAAACCACAGAGGTTTATCGGGGATCATCCCCTGCTTAAAATTACAATATAAAAATACAATAGTTTTTTTTAAATTAAACAATAACACATACATGTACGAAAACATATATAGATATTACATGCAAAATATGTTGCCAGAGTGTGTATACATCGATTGCTTGTTATCGAAGTAGAAATCGCAAACATTCAATCTCTTGTACACTTTTTTTATGAATCACCCTGTATAAATAATGTATAAATTGCTCTGCCATCTAAAATAATATCAAGAATTATCAAAATATGTATCATATATATATCATATCTGGTAAAGAAAATCAGAAAAGGGTTCTAAATGCAGCAATAAAACATGACAAAGTATACATTTTCACAATTTTTAGAGCAGAAAACGCCATTTTGGCGGCCATTTTGTTTTTTGCTTATATCTCAAATTGCTCAAGGCTGACAGACCTCCAGTTTTTTGCTTGTTCACATTGTATATCTAGACAATCAGAATCCATTAAAAAAAAAAACTTATTTCACCAAAACAAGGTTAGGCCCAAAATCCGGGTTTGGCTGCCGGACTATTTAGACTCGATTTCAACCGCGACAACGATCACTGAATATCATAGGATCGCATATGCTTCCAATATGTTCATTTGAACCAAATTCATGACCCCATACCAAAACTTTGTATTACCTTTAAAATACACTGAATTGTAATGATGTTGATTTTTTTTCCATATGAGTTGTAGGTATTATGTACCTTCAATTATAATTATCAATCTTTGCTTAATGTTTATCAAATATATATTTGTAACACATGTCAATGATGGGTAATTTTTTTTTTAAAGGAAGCTCTCTCTCTCTCTCTTATTCTTCCTCTTCTTCTTTGCTGTCATTTTCCCTCTTCTACTACTTCCTTATTACCGCGATATGGACACATTCATGTTCTTAATAATGTTGTCTGGATATTTTAACAACATTTATTTGACTTTTCCTACAAATAAATTTGCCTCTTAGTCTGGTGTGTGCCGGCAATACTTTGATAAGTCATCATGAGTTAATATTTAGACTAGTAAAAGAATAAATGAAACATGTGCCAAATGTAACTTTGCACCTGGGAATCAGTTAAATATTCTAATCCATGATATCTTAAGGATTATGCATTAAATGTTTACTTATATAGTTGACTCATTTGTTCTCTAAATATTTTATCAGATTCGCTATTCCATACAAATGCATACAAAAACAAATAGTCTTTCATAATTTGCGAGTTTGGTTCTGGAAGTGGAAGCACTAAAGAATTCAGTTTTGGTACTAACAAATTTTAACTACAGTCATTCTCCCTGGAACAGTTGAGACTCTTTACACAAGGACAACATTTGCCTTTTTTCACAGTAATTATGAGCGACCATTTCTAGTCAAGTCAACCGGAAATATATTTCTAAGTGTCTCGAGTAACATTTGGATAACTATGTTAGGAAAACTATTCAAGTAGTTTATCTCAACCCTGTGAAATATTTTCACTTTCTTGAAATGATTATGACTATTCGAAAATTACCTGTTAAACACTTGTTTAATCGCCTAGCAACTCCTTGGTTTGATATAATCACCAGGTTGACCCATGCAATGCATTTATTTTATGCCATTCACAGAACAATGGAGCCTTTGCCATGTTTACGAGAAGTCGAGTTTATACATCTTTCCAGAGACATACCTCATACTAGTTACTCAGAACTGTGCGTCGCTCTGGGGTACTGCTATACTTGGAATCAATCAATTCTCGCAAATCATCGAGGTAACTACAATGAGGCTATGACGGAAATCCTGATCAAGTGGAATACTGAACAAGCAGAGACCAGCCAATCACGATCGATCCTGGCGACAAAGCTTCATGCAGTGAAGCTTGGTGGATTGGGAAAGAAATTGTCTAAAGGTAAAGAGTCGCCTAAATACTACTGAATTAATAATATCTCCTCTGTATGATTTCGTTATTAAATTAAGGTAAATTTGATCAATCTAGCTGTATTGTTTGATTCTTGAAATTTAAATGTTATTCGTATTTTAATGTAAAATATGTTTTGATGTTCGAATCTCTCGAGCCATGGATGCATAAATAACATCAGAAATTACTATGTATATATTTCATGTAGGTGAATATCTCCCAAAGCAGCAGGACCCACATGAACAAGAGATGACTCCGCCGCAAAGTAGCTCAGGTATGATTGCTTTAAAACAGCGATTATTCTCCTTGGAAGGGGGGGGGGGGGATGGCTAATACAACAATATGCCAACCGGAAGATATCCTGGGCATAGCCCCTAGTTTATTTAGAAGAGAAAGGAATATTAACGATATTTTAATGCCTACTTCGAATTACAAAATTGACGATTTGACATATAGGGCATACAATAACTTGTCAAAGAGTTTAACTGTTTTCTCCATGATTGTACGCTACTGTATAGGTAATGTTTAGAAATTTCCATAATAGGATCATACGTTTGAAAATACCGAAAACAAACATTTGAAATAAATTGACGCTATTAGAGATTTAGGCAAAACTACATTTTCTCATTTTTAGTCATATTGACAGTGAAGTGTGAGGCCCAAGAGACTGAATAGACCACGACACTGACAAAACAAATAAATATATAAGGCATATAGCAAGAATGTCGGTGTTGTGAACCCTCTGGAAAATGAAATGTCTGGTAAAAGACTAGGCCGGTCCAGCTTTGATACTTATTATAAAACAATTTGATACACAAACATAATTCGTGACTCAAGATGGAATTTAAATTATAAACTTGGCGTCTTGGGAATTGACTGCATGACTGGACTTATATGTTCCTAATTTCCATTGTATTGTCTGTGTAGAAATGGCGACGCAAGGAGGTATTGCCGATGATCTTTTCTTCCATCTGGCTGAAGACATCCAGATGGGCGAGCAGATGGAGGCCTTAGGACGAACGCTCGGCTTCAAAGTCGCAGAAATCGATAGATACACAGAGACCAACAACAAAGGTGCCTGGGTATATTGCAAGGGAACATTTGACATGCTGTTTGACTGGAGACAGACCGTGGTGACTTGCGACCAGCATCTCAGACTGAAACAGGCTCTCATTGACGCTAAGCTGGTCGTGCTTGCTGATAAACATCTCAAAGGGATACACATTATTCCAGGTGGGTCTATCAGTGCTAGAGTGCTTACAATCCGTAAATCGTATGAAGAACGTAAACTTTTAGGGGAATTTCCATGTATAGGGTGTAGCGAGTGTCCGGGAACTGACGAGGTACTATGACACCGAACATGAAGATTTCATAGGACATTCAGGGCCAGTGGCGGATCCAGACGTTAATTTTACCTTTTTAGGGAGATGGGCCCCCCTGGCGATCCAGGGAGGGGGGGGGGGGGGGGATGCGGGTTTTCAAATTTTCGAGGGCCCATAAAAAAATAAATAGGGCTCACTATCCCCCCCCCCCCCCATCTCCCCACCCCACTTAGCGAATTATCGGCCTGCGCGATTTTCAATTCTTCGGGAACAAAACGAATAAATGGTGCTCACTACCCCCCTTCCCCCTCCAACTGAGCAAAATATTGGCCGGCACGATTTTCAAATTTCGGAACACTAAATTTAAATTGATTTCAAATTTGGGCCCTCCTTAGAAATCCTGGGTCCGCGCCTGAGCAAGGCCATTATATTTCATGTCCCTTCATCCTGTACATCTCTCTCCCTCAATTTCTGTTTGAAAAAGTTCTTTAATAAACAGGAAAAAATATACCAAAGATTTTCAACATCGATTTGGAGAGAAATTTTGCCTGACTGATCTATACAGTATAATCAAGGATAACAGCAGGGTTGAGTGTGTTTCTAGGCCTTCACTTCGTGGAAAAACTTAGGAAAATCGTCGGAATTCATGTATTTCAAGAGAAACAAAAATCATCCCCCAAAACCTTGCGAAGGGGTTGATATATCACGTGAGTAAAAATAAGACATTTGGTGTTATATATGCTTCCCAAGACGATAATCCAATCGAAACCAATTCACACCAATTGAATTTTTCAATTGGTTTTAATTGGTCTCAATAGGTTTTAACAGGTTTCAATGGGACTTTAATATGAATTTAAATGGTTTCAGTTGGTCCAGATTGGCCCATTGGACCAATTGGCCCCATTGGCCTAGGCCCCAGTAAACTTAAATGGAACCTTAATTGAACCAATTGGCCTAAAGTTGGACTTCAATTGGTTCAATTGAAACCAATTGAAATCCCATTAAAGTCTAATGGGGCCAATTAAAACCAATATAAACCAATAGGACCAATGCTCAACTAGATAGAAACCAATAAGATCAATAGAAACCAACAGGACCGATAGGACCAATAGAAACCGATTAGACCAATAGAACCCAATGGGACCAATAGAAACCAATAGGACCAATAGAAACCAATAGGACCAATAGAAACCAATAGAAACCAATAGAAACCAACTACAGATCTATGTATCTCATTCATATTCATTATTAATTTACACGTGTCACAGTACAATACATTTATCATGATTTGTTAAGTAAATTATGACAATGCACAATCAATTTTGTAATTTCTATTTTCCTTCGGCAATTATTGACCAACATATTACTTGTCTGATCATGTTACAATTACATTCACATTTTAGCAATAGATATATTGATTATAATATGATTACTAACCAAGATTTTTTTTTGTGTGTATTATATAATAGGAGCCTAATATATATGTTCAAAAGTTAGTCTTAAATTCACTTCAAATGATTTATATGATGGAGTTAATGCAATTGAGATTGGAATATACCTATTTGGTGGTAAGTTGCCAATATCGATTATGAAGTATCAGTTTATCACTGGGTCTTCTACCTGAATCGATTTACCAATCAAATCTCCATTGAATGCCCCCACTGAATCCCAATTCAATACCAATTGGCAATTTGGAGTAGCCTACATGGAAAGTGAAACAATGGGTACATATTAGAACCAATTGGCAAATGGTCCCGATTGCCGCCAATTTGCAATTGATCCCCATTAAAACCAATTGCCAGTAGGTTTCAATGGGGACCATGCAATTGCCGATTGGTTTCAATAGGTACCCATTGTTTCACTTTCCATGTACTCCAAATTGCCAATTGGTATTCAATTTGGTTTCAATGGGGACATTCAATGGGTATTTAATTGGATTTTCGTCTTGGTTATCATTCCAGGTATCTACAATAAGAAGATCTCGGCATCATTGACTGTTGAGCGATGTCGCGAAAAGTTGGAGAATAAGTACCGGAAAAAATTGTGCAAAATTCAAATGAAACCGTGGGATCAAAGCGATTATGCTGAGCTTGAAGATATGCACACGGCTGTTACAATGGTGAAGAAGGACGCTAACGGACAAGACACGAAAAAGAAGGAAAAACTCAAGGGTTCTGAAATATTTTCAACGAAAGTAAACGGAGAACTGCCAGCTCGAATCCTCATTTCGGCCCCCGCTGGGAGGGGGAAGACCACGGCTGTCGCTAAGATGGCTCACGATTGGGTTCACAGAAAAAAGGGGTCAGCATTAGAACACCTGCCACTTCTGTTTGTTGTGAAATTCCGAAACACAAGTAGGCGTACCTCGATCGGAGAAGCAATTAAGGACCAGCTTTTGAGTGATGTTGATGATCTCACACCAGAGGGTCTGGAGAAATTCATTAGAGAGAATCAGGGAATCTGTCACATCATACTAGACGGACTAGATGAGTATGCCGGTATCTCTTCTTTAGAAGGAAGCTCAGAGAGCAATATTTTCAGTGTCATCCGCTGGGAGGAATTTCCAGAGTGCCGAGTCCTTGTAACAACACGCCCTCACCTAGAAAACATCTTTAATCAAGATGAACTTCCTAGGGTATACACAAAGATGTGGATCGAAGGATTCTCACGAGAGAGCTCACATGAGTACATCGACAAGTTCTTTGGTTCGACTTCGAATAATTATAGCAGGCAAGGTCATGGTCTAAAGGTTTACCTTGATGAACAACCGCTCATTAATGAACTTGTTAAAACACCTCTATTTTGTCTCATGGTCTGTCATTTATGGAGCGAGGGGCTTTTAAACACTGAAATTGCAACTCAAACAGAATTATTAGACAGCGTGAATGTTTTTTTGATGCACCATGCAAACTTCCGATCAAAGTCAAGGGTGAAAATCACACGCAAAAAGTTGAGGAAAATCATTTGTCAATTAGGCAAAGTTGCCCTTACTGGTTTGCTGGACGATGCTAAAAAACTAGTTTTCACACCTGATGATTTCCGTAAAGTTCCCGCAATGCTTGAAATAGCATGTGAGCTTGGGATAGTATCGAAGACGACTGCTTCATTAACACGCCTACCTCAGTCCAACGAGACCACTTCCACTACCATTGAGTTTTATCACAAACTCGCACAAGAACACTCGGCTGGGAAATTTCTCGCTGATCAAACAAACCACTTTCTGCTGCGCTTGAAGTTATCTAAGTTAGACAGAGTACTGCTCAAGATCAAAGCAAACATCGGCGACTATGAGAATCTCATCCGATTTGCTGCTGGTACGGACAACAACCTATGTATACGAATAATGGAGAGGGTCCTCGCAAACAGCTTTGTGGATGAGCTCGAACGATATCGCATTCTCCTAGACTGTTCATCAGAGACCAAGGGTACCGAAGGAAATGTATCTTCGTTGGTTCAAAGATGTGTGAATGCAGAGAGTATTGTTCTGAAGTCACCCACAGTCTACACCGTCGTTGGGATGCAACAACTTCCAAAGCAACTTAAACGTCAGGTATGCACATTTTCATTTCACAAAATATGTTTCCAATAATCTTTTCATAAAGATTGTTTAAATTTTCATTTTTCTGCTGCAACTATAATTCAAAGAGCTAATATATTTGTGTAAATGTATTCTTATTCATAATTAACAGCATCGTAATAAATCATACTGTATGATAAAACGATCAATACGTATGATGCATATTAATTATTATTCTATGTTTCCCCAACTACGGCCTCAATCAAGGTACTGCATAGAACAGAAACAAGAAAAATAATTTGAAACAAAATAATAACAAAATACAAAAGGTCCTAGGGTCTTTTCATTTAGAGAAAAAGACGAGGGACAGTCAATATAAGCATTTAGCCTATGCAAAACATAGGAGACGTTCATTTACCATAAAAGATAATAAATGTTTTACTTATTAATGTAAATGAGGGTGAGGGAGCGTCCATTACTAACCAGATAATATTCTGAGAAAAGATCAGGCTACAGATTTTATTGATTTAATGATTACCGCAAAAAAACAAGAGATCAACTAATTATTGTCATTTAATTCGTATAATCTCTTACTAATCTCTCTATCTTTCTATTTTTACACTAGGTTATGACGATAAAGTTCGAGGGATCTACTATAACTACCGACGTGACGAGTGGACTATGGTCCTGCCTGGGATCATTTTCGATGCTACGTACCCTCACCGTCTCAGACTCCTCTCTCAGTTTCCCTCAATCTCCTCCTGAGCTTCCATCCGTCACAAAGCTATCAGCCGAGAAAGTGACGTCACAAAGCTATGAATGTCTGCTCTCATCGCTCCCTGGCTTGAGAGATATCGATATCATTATCGATGATGCAGAGAGAGACATACCTCAGATCACGGCTTGTCTTCGTCGGACGTGCAGAGGACAGCAGCACATCTACCTTACAGCACCATCATCACTCCCATCAGAGAAGAACAGTGTATCGAGAGAGACGATAAGAGGAATGGGTCTTCTGATCAGAGAACAAACCAATAACCTGCAGGGGCTACTTCTGACCTGTGTGAAGTGCACAGACGAGGAAGACTTGGTTGAACTTGTCGAGTGTTGCAAAAATGTGGAGACGATGAATCATCTAATGTGAGTTTATTGTACAAATTTTTAGTCAGTCAATAACAAAAATAAGACTCATAGTGTTGGTAGCCCCAGTAATAATAATAATTGATTACAATAATAACAAAATTAACAAAACTAGTTATATACTATAGTAATAACCATTAATGATTTTAATGCTAAGGGTGCCAAACATCTTGCACTTCAGATGTTTTTTTGCTCTAGTTTAAAATGGGCAATTGACACCTAGCCTTTAACTGAAGGCGCTTAATTATTTATGGTGAATTCATTTTAAATATATATGCACCTGTCTTATTGGATTTTAACTATTGATTTGATAACTTCGTTCATGGTTTAAAGAGAAGATTGAGACTCTGTCAGCTAGAAAGTAGCAAATTCGCCAACCTCTTCATGACATCGTATATAGATGATGTAAATTTCTCAAAGCTAGCAAGGGGTCTGAATGCCGTTATGTTTAGTATATGTATCATTTTCACGAAGACAATGAGCCCGAAATATAACAAAAGTAATTATTAACGATCATCATGTTTTCTTGCATGTGTTCAGCTGGTTTATTTTGTTTTTGTTTATCACATAAGGCCCTACTCCTTTTTCTGATCTATTTAAATGACCTCCTAAATTCCTCAATAATTGATTGTTTGCAGCTGAATTGACCATTATTTTCTACCGGGAAAATCTTGTTTTGATTTAGTAGTAATAACTGAGAATATCACAATTAATCAGTGGTGTGATGCCAATAATACAATTGTCAATATTATGACAAAAATACTTTATTAGTATGAAGCCGAAAAGTATGTCTTTTTATGTAGAAGGGTCAGTCTATATGAACGAACATATTGTTGAAAGAAGTGCATGTAGCTTCGTTCGTTGGGGTTCGTATTTATATGCATTTCACTTCGGTAGATCATATGCACTCTGCGTGTATTGTACTCCGCATATCAGTAGAAAATCTGTACGGAATGCTACATTTTGTTCTGATCAGGCTATTTCTGTTACTACATCATTCATTTATAAAAACATATAGGCATATATCACATGTTCTTTGAGTGTATTTGTTGCAAGCATAAATCATGTGTTATGCAAAGACATCACGAATAGACTTATTAGAAAGGGAAATTGGCATCTGTCAAAGTTAAAGGGTCACTTATCAGATTTCAGAAGGGGCATTTCTCATACCTAGCAAGCGGCACTCATCAGGGATGATTAGGGGCACTTCTTAGAACGGAAAGAGCACTTGTTAGACTGGGAAAAGGGACACGTGCCAATAGTCACAGGGCACTTATTTATTTAGTTATTATTTATTATTTATCTGTTCAGTTTTATTTAGAATAGAGGGTACACTGTAGGTACATTCAGTATACAAAAAAAAATAAAAATCATCAGGTGATCGGTACACTTTACCCGTTCATGTAATCATCTACAAATGGATGCAATTAACATCTTCTTTCCATTTCTCTCTTTTTAACGCAATTTACACATTATTTTTATGTTGCAGGCTTCTTGGCTGTGGTACAAACACAGACGGTAGACTAAGCCGTCACATCACTGGTCTTCACAAGTCAAAGAAGTCACTCGGGGTGATTGCCTTGCATGTAAGTTACTTACTAAGTATATCGATTGCTACATTAATGCAAGGGTTTTAGGACAATTACCCCCTGGACAATAACCCCAGCCAATTACCAACGGGGCAATTAATCCCCAAGGACAATTACCCCCCCCCTGAAAAATTACCCTCTCGGACAATCACCCCACCCCTCTCCCCAGGACAATTACCCCCCGAAACAATTAAAACCGAATTATTATCACGGTGGACTTTGAAGGTGGTAATTTTCCGGGGGGGGGGGGTAATTATCATCAGGGTTCATTTTCAGAGGTAGGTGGTAATTGTCCTCAGGGGGATGTTGTCCTTGGGGGTAATTTTCCGGGGGTGATTGTTCAGGGGGTAATTGTCCTGATACGGAATGCAAGTAAATCTTTAAACAGTGTAACACAAATTCATTTAAATGTATATCATGTGAATATCGTGCTTTTAAAATTATAGTAGCATCCTTTTTATTGTTATATTATATTGGATGTAGTTTCTGCATGTACATGTAAACTATAATGTTATAAGATTATGCTTCCGATAACCCTACATTTACATAACAACAAACCGTGAATTGCCGGAATGTTCAGGGCCATCCACAAACTCACCGCTCCTTCATATAATGCAATAAAGAGACAAGTTGCCTGTCTACATGAGAAAATAAGCCATTCGCAGATCAGAGTCGAAATTTAATGTATGCAATACAAAGAGATTGATTTATTGGCCATATTTATTTATATCATCTTTACCGTTTTACTTAAAGCAGGCTTTCCTCCTCAGTTTAAAAAAAAAACCATCCCTAAGCGCCCTGCACAATAAAACAACGCATATAATTTATGTGTGGACCTGATTAACTCATAAATAGCATACCTAAAAAAGATTAGGAAAAGAAATTAATAACATAAGAAAGATATAATATTATGAATTCAAAATATTGTAAACTGTCACTAATTTTGAACATATAGTATGATCAAAACATTCAGTCGGTAAATTATTTAATTTTCCAATAACTGATTACAGCCGTTGAAAACAAAATGAGGTAATACGAATATTAGATGGGGATTGATTAAGGAATACATTAATACATATACGCTACATAATATAAGGGGGGTGGGGTGGGAGAGAGGTGGACAAGGGATACAAAACTTCGTATTACCTTTAACAATAATAATAATAATAATAATAATGATAATATGTCTTGTTTACCCAGAGTAGCCTCATCAGTATTCATACTGTTCTCACTAAGAGCCCTGCAATCATATTATACCCCGGTCATCGGATTCAGGCTTACCCGCACACAGTGTCTGCATATTCTCCACTCCCTGGGGAGCATTACAGCCAGGCGTAATTTTTACAAGCGCATATTTGCTAATCTAAGCACATAAGCTTTCGCATCCTACCGGGTACCCATTTAACACCTGGGTGGAGAGTGGCAAATGTAGATCAATGTCTTGCCAAAGGACATTAGTGCCGCGGTACACTCTAAAAAAAAAACTGCTCAATTTGAGTCAAAATGTTACTCTTTTGGGGGGTGGTCAAAAGGAAACCACCCGACTTTTGAGTAAACTTTACTCAGCATGTGTTGAGTAACAAATCTACCCATCTGTTGAGTTAAAATATTACTCAATAAGAGACTAAATCTCTACTCAGTTTGAATGAGTCAACCTTTACTCAATATTTACTCCTTGTTTAGCGGTTTCCTTTTTTACTCAGTACTGGGTAGAAACGTAATCAACTCATGTCGAGTAAGAAACTGCTCATGAGTTGAGCCAAATTTTACTCAATTAACGAGTACATGTTTTGACTCAAATTGTTTGAGCGATTTTTTTGCTCAAATATTGAGTATGTTTTCTGGGTAACGCTTAGTTGCTCAATCAATATTGAGTAAAAACATGTACTAAGTTAAGTACATGTTTTTACTCCATTAGGGGTGCAAACCGATGCAATAGCAGCACCTTTAGGGGTTCAATCCTGCACCCTTTAAAAGGTGCAATCCTGCACCCATCATCGAGGAATACTGGTAAAATTTGCTCGTACACAAATACATATTAAACATGCATGATGTTTCTTGGTTAGTAATCATATAATCAATATATCTATTGCCAAAACGTGAATGTAATTGTAACATGATCAGACAAAATAATATATTGGTTAATGATTGCCAAAGGAAAATACAAAATCAAAAAATTGATGTGCATTGTCATAATTTGCTTAACAAATCATGATAAATGTATTTGTATGTGAACACGTGGAAAGTAATCATGAATATGCATGCAATATGCAAACTTTTATTTTGCACCCTCTTTTGGTCGATAGGGTTCATTTTTGTGGGAAGGGTGCAAAATCTTATATTGCACCCTTTTTTTAACCCCTTTTCCTTCAATAGGGTTCATTTTTATGTAAAGGGTGCAAACTCTTATTTTGCACCCTTTTTTGCACCCTTTTTTCTAAGAGTGTATCTCAGTTCTTTCGCATCTTTCTGCACGCGCACATGCATGCACGAGACATGCACATGACGGACAATGAAAGAGTACAAAATATCCAGTTCCTTAGGTAGACAAAGGAACATACAGCTGCTATTATGTAAAAATGTGTAGAACAGGTGTCACATGCATATTGACAGCTAGTTGCACTTTCCATCGATCCAACTTTCACTCGCACCCGAGGTAAATTCGGGTAAGAGATCAATGTTGATTTATTTATCACCTGCCGCAGCGTAATACCCAACCGTAGTTTACTCAAAATTGATACAAACGAAATTCGTACTCAATGTTGAGTCATTGATTTACTCTTTATCGAAGGTAACAACTTACTCGGGTGACGAGTACCACTAAAATCAAGGTCTTACTCCAGCTTGAGTACTGAATTGCTCATTTTGTTACTCAACTTGTTTTACTCGGCACAATTTACTCGCTGACATTAAGAGTGTAGGACTTGAACCGCGGACCTTGTGACAATACTATATTTTGCCTGAGTTACGCAGGCTAATGTTGCTGTCTGACTTGTTACTTTTGCATACTTATTTTTAGTGAGGTTTTTTTTGTCCAAGAGTAAGAGAAGATTATGCATAGAGTTAGGAATGTTTTGCAGGCTTTGCTGAGTATATGAGCTTTAGTGTGTGGTAGTGGATGTTTGTGGAGTCATTGTACAATGGGCCTTCATCACAGCAAAGTTCAAATGTGTTTGTATTTTTTTTGTAAAGTTTGTGTAATGTTTATTCTGCCTACGTGGATCTGAAGTTGTTGTTGTTTGTTTTCTTCTTATTTTTATTATAACCCGTAACTGCTTGTCGCAGAATAACTGTCATAGGGCTCTCAATTAGAACAGGTATTTTGTTACGGAAAGATACATTTAGGGTGATAATGGTTTCGTGAAGTGGAGAGTTCGTGTATGCATGGAGATATATCTCCATGGTATATGTGAAAAGTCTATACACTTTGTGCGCCCTTTTCGGCGCGTTTGAAAAAGCTCGGTTTGTATGATGCATAGGCGCCGGAAGTCAGGGGCAGGGAGGGGGGGGGGGGCAAAGCGAATTTTTGCTCCCGCAAACAAACAAAAACCCGCCCTCCTTCTCAAACTAAGAAGAAAAGCAGTAAAGGAGTAAATATGGTTTGTATTTTTAACGCAAAAGAACATAACAATAATAACAACCTGAATTAAATCACATATAGAATTCCATTCAAAGAAAAGGAAAGTTAACAGGAATTAAATTTTCTGTACATTCCGCATTCCACCTATATTTATCGTTGGAGCTTTTTATATTAGCGATACGCGAATAACGTGGAAATATTGTGAGAGGATGGGAAAGCGTTTGTGTTTTTTGTTATAGGGGTGAGAAGACATGAGCCCCTGATCGCTTGCGTACTGATTGGGGGGGGGGGGTCTTTTTCGATACCATTGATTTACAAATGTTGCTGAAATGACATGATTTCCCGGTATTTTTTCTCAGTCATACCTTTCGAGCCCCCCTTACCTTTTGAAAAAGTATGTTACAGAGAAAAAGAAAGAAAGAGAGAGAGAGAGAGAGGAAAAAAGTGACCTGCCAATGTCACAAATGAGGTATAAAAATACGCTCATCTGACCGTAATTAAATGCCTAAAACCTGAGAGCTTTCGGGGGCTTGGCCCCCTGGACCCCACCAAGGGTCCTAAGGCGGGGCCCCTAGATGCTTATCTGACCGTAATTTAATGCCTGAAAACCCTGAGCTTCCGGGGGCTCAGCCCTTGACCCCCTGTCAGTGCTCAGACCCTGGACCCCAAGACAATTTATGCTCTACCTGATTGTTAATACTCCACTTTTAAAAACGTTCCGCGAGCCTGCATGTAACGTGTAAGAGTGGTGGTGATGCAGATTTTTCTTCTGCTCCCCCCTTCCAAACGTTTGTGCTCATTACGTCACTGTCCCTGGAAGGTGAATCCCTGGAATGTTTGCCCCCCCCCCCCCCCCCCAATCCTAAACTGCTTCCGGCGCGCCTTGTATGATGGATGTCACTCCGTCGGTTGCCCGGAAAAAGGTGGCATAGCGTGGGCGCTGGTAAAAAACGGGGAACCGAGAGAAACGGTTTTGAAGTGTTAACACCTACTTCAAGTGCTAAAATATGGTGGCCCTGAAGGGAAATCGCGAATAGACTAAATCGCGAGAAATTGGCGATAAAATTCACGATATCATGAATTTTATCGCCAATTTTAACGACGAAATTCACGAAATTGACGATATCGTCAATTTTATCGTGAAAAGTTCACGATAAAGTTCACGATATCGTCAATTTTATCGTGTACTCTATCGTGTACTCTATCGTGTACTCTCCTGGCGGGCGCTTCGTAAACAAAACCAGCCCTAGCTTGATTGAAGACGATTATTTTGACGAGACGTTTTTACGATGATTTCTGTGAAAATGGTAGGTTTAACTTCATATTATGCTCTAGATCTATTTGTATTTTATGTTTGACAAGATAGGCATAAAAAGTAATTGCACAGCGGAAAAATTACCCGGTAGACTATGCAATTAATGGTCTAGATGCACTCAATGCATTTTCCCATACATTCATTTCCATGTTGTAATATCTATCGAGTAATGTAATTGATCTAGATGATAGATCTAGGCCTACTTTTATTAGTAGGCCTACGTACTAGCACACTCAATTTCTCAAACTGAGTCAACAAAGACTGACAGAGTCGATGTAGAACTAATACTAACTAATAGGTAGCAGCGGCTAGCAGAATATTACTAGTAGTAGCATTCTAGTGCACTAGCTGCATGCGCAGGCTATAGAATAATGCATGATTGTACGAATACACCAGTTTACCGTTGTGTGCGCCATTTTAATCGAAGTCAATGGCCTAGAGGTCATGTATTTATGCGTAAATTAAGATTGCGCCCATGCAAATTATGGTGACATACTGCCTACGCGCTGCGTTGTGCGCGCACATCATCATTTGCATGGGCGCAATCTTAATTTACGCATAAATACCACTGACCTCGGGTCATACACCAGTTTACAGTTGTGTGCGCCATTTTAAACAAGGCCAATGACCTAGAGGTCATGTATTTATGCGTAAATTGATTGCGCCCATGCAAATTATGATGATATCACTGCCTGCGCGCTGCGTTGTGCGCGCATATCATCATTTGCATGGGCGCAATCTTAATTTACGCATAAATACCAGAGGTCAGAGGTCATTGGCCCCGGAACAGGGCCAATTTGGCCCTGTTCCGGGGCCAATGACCCGAGGTCAACTGTCTGCTCATGCGCACTGATACAACTGTAAACTGGTGTATTGGCTTTGTTTCAAAACCAATGACCCGAGGTCAACTGTCTGCGCATGCGCACTGATACAACCGTAAACTGGTGTATTGTATTGAAGATGATTTAGTCGTAGGCTCTATGCCTCCAGTGATTATTGCATTGGCAGACATTTTATTTTTAATATTTTTTTCAATGCTAGCAACAACATGAATTATTAATTAAGCTAGGGCCTAGCCAAGGTCACTCAAGTAAAGCATATTAGTAGACAATGCTAATGCGTATTGACCTCTATAGCGCTGCACGTCAATACGATTACCAGACAACTCGCCACAAACACAACCCGCCCCAAGACAACCCGCCACAATACCCTGGACATCTCGCCACAATACCCTGGACAACTCGCCACAGGCGAGTTGTCCAGGGTGGGGTGCCTTTTCGGACAACTCACCACACTTTTTCCCCTCATGATTTCTAGATCTAGATCTTTTTGGTAACTAAATAGTAATCAATAATACTGCTGATTTTTTGTTAGGGGGAGGGGGGGGGGGAGTGGAAATTCGTTTTGACCCCCCCCCCACACACACACACTTTTTCGTTGGGAGGAGGGCGAGTCCCCTGCCCCCACTTCTGGCGCCTATGATTGCAAGAATTGCTGGATTTCTTAAAAAAGGGGCACCTACAAAGGGACACATCAACAATAATAAAAACCATTTTTAGATATTTGTCTATAGGCCTACGCCTTCGTCAAGATTGTGAATACACTACCACGAATGACATCAATATTTGTTTATTTCTTTACGTGGAACAACATATTGTTTAAGCAACGTACTCCGCAATTTGGTGTGATGGATTGAATATCGATTTTCGAGCAAGCAAGGAAAAAGTTTAAGGTCCCATTTGAAAAATTACATGATGAATATTGAGGACAATCTAATGAAGAAAGACAGAAAAGTTCTTTTATGTAATTATGAGTAACATTATAATTAAAACATCTGAGAAAGAAAAGTAGGCACTTATCAGAAGGGAAAAGGACATGTACAAATGATAAGGGGGCACTTTAGGGGAACCTGAAAAAGTGGAGGCACAGTGCCCCCCCCCCCCAAACAAGAATGCCGCCTGTGACTGTGGGCAAAAGTGCGAAACTAACCCAGAAAATCTAGAAATAAACAACATTTCAATTTTATTTCGCGGGTCAACTGCCCCCTCTCCCATTAGTACGCCAGCGCTTCCAGTAGGCCTATCCTTCATGAATTCCTACCATCAACAATTATCAGAAGGGAAAAGAACATGTAAAAAGGATAAGGGGGCACTTTAGGGGAACCTGGAAAAGTGGGGGCACAGTGTCCCCCCCCCCAACGAAGAATGCCGCCTCTGACGAAACTAACCCAGAAAATCTAGAAATAAACCACATTCCAATTTTATTTCGCGGGTCAACTGCCCCCCCCCCCCCCCCCCCCCTCTATCAGTACACCAGTGCTTCCAGTATCCTACCATTAAAATATTTCTGGGACAGAAAAATGCAGCTGTTATAGACCTCTATCTAAATACCGAGAAGTTATCCCAATGATCTGGCGATCGTACGCCCTTTGGTTTGTCAAAAGTATATTATTGTTGCAAGGGAAATCAGCTTTATTCTTTATTCTTTGTAATGACTGTGTTTATAGAAAATCATGACAAATGACAATTTCATATCATTTTAGATCTAAAAATCACGGGGGGAAAAAAGTGTGGCGAGTTGTCCGAAAAGGCACCCCCAAATTTTTTTTTAAAAAATTGTACATGGCCAGGCCCATGTATGCAGACAAGGACTGTTAACCGTGGTAACACTAACAATATGTAAAACTGTATCGGAGCTTGGAGATAATTGATAATTTATGACACTGATGCAGTGATAGATCTAAACTTCTGAAACAAAATCAAACTTGTTTTCAATCCTGAAAATCTCTCTGCCAAATAATTTTCTAAAGTCTGTTTCTCTGTGTATTCAAAAATGTATTCTTTATGTTATTATTGCAGGAGCTACTGACTACAAGCATGAAATAGATGTGACGCAATTGGATTTAATTGATCAACAGTACTGTTTGGCAATGGGAGAAAGTGGTAACGGGAGGACCTTTGCTTATTTGGTCCTCCTCGATTTGGCACCATTCAGTATCCAGTGATATTTCTTTTGTATTGTGTTGTTTCGGCAATATATCAATAAAGCAACAGTTTGACCGACTTGCCTGCATCATCACTTTTGTGCTGAAAACCTTATTTTGGTTGTTTGAAGGTCGCCATTTTCCTTCTTTATCGTCAACATTGACCTTCCGTGTCTTCATTTATCATCATAACTCTACCTTTGACATCGACCATTCGTTTCTTCGTTCATAATCATCATGATAACTTTACTTTCGCCATTATCGACATCGTTTCTTTGTATGAAGACCACGCCATCTTTCTGTTTGACAGTATACAAACCCCAGTTTGTATATTTACACCGTCGATTTCCGTTCTTTGTTTGAAGGTCAGGATTTACGCCTACCTTCCACATCGTCAGAAACTTTGCTATTCTTTTCCACATCGTCTCTTCTTGTTTCTTCGACATCATCAGAAACTTGGGTCTTCTTTTCCACATCGTCAAATCTTGTTTTTTCGAGATCATCAGAAACTCTACCTTTGTCGTCATCGACAGAATAGACCCTAATTGTTTCTTTGACATCGTCGGTTCATCATCATTGACAATAACATCAACGCATTTGACAAGTTTGATGATAATGTAGTGTAATTAGAAAAGCGGCAGTCTTTCGCTTTATAAATAGACTCCCTTAATTGTTAACATGTGACTGTTATTGAAATATTTCCCGGCTAGATTTTAGCACGGATTTGAATAAACGCTCATGGTTTAAATGATATATCTTGTGTCCACTATTTTTTATTATAGCTGTCTGGTCTCTTGTGAATCACAGTAGAAAGAAAAGGAAGAATTAAATTAGGAATTAATTGGGATGTTGACCAAGTTACGATCATCGATCATGATCATTCAACTCCTAATCCAGTTCTTGCCAAAACTCTATATGCAGCAACATCATTTCAAAAAGCCACAAACATGCTCTGAAGCACTCATTTTTTATGGTAATTCGATCCAATTATTTGATCTTGTTTGATTGTGTTTGTTACAAGGACACGTCTGTATAATTTCTGAACGTATTTTACACCGTATCAAAGATTGCAGTAACTTCTTCCTTTTCAATATACTGCTTTAAGGATAAGCCATGTTGGGAGAGCCACAGCCTTCTGAAGTCTTAATAAATGCATATTCCACATTCTTACTCTTTTTCTTCCTGTTTCTTGATCCCCTCCTTTTCTTCCTTTCTTCTCTTTTCTCCCTTCTTTTTATTCTCTTTCTTCTCTTTTCTCCCTTCTTTTTATTCTCTTTCTGTCTATTTTTCTTCTTCTCTTTCTTCTCCTACCCCTTTTCCTCTCTTATTCTTTTTTTCTTCTTCTCCTTCTGCATCCTATCATTCCTCTTGGTCCCGTTTCTTGTTATGCTTAATTCATCATTCATACTTGTTCTACAGCTTTTGTATGAATGTAGAGTTCAGATAAAATCAATTTGTTTTCTCTCTCTATAATGTAATTTACACATATCAGTCACATATATTGTTTCTAAATTCTATTTATTCATTTTGAATGCATGTAACATTGTCTGTTTGGAGCCACAGTGGCATTGATCTGTATTACTTTGACATGGAGTCAGGGCCCTTGTGACCCCAAACAGACGATATGTTAAACGTGTCTGTTAATATTTGTCTACATTATGCATCACAAATTCCATTATGAATAATATGAAGTATTAGCCCTGCATTGTTAATAATAAAACATGACCTGGGCTTCTTCTCTTTTCTACTTGTAGTATCTATACAAGTGTATGTACTATAATCATGATTGTTAATAAAGTGATATTGAAACAAAAACTGCTGCAAAATTTAAGAAACTGAAATTGGGGTTTTCTGCCTACAACAGTAAACTCAAATAGGGCATTCTGTCATCAATATTCATCTTCAAACATATTTGTTTTAAAAATATTTGCAGAAATGTGTGTTAATTTTTGCCACAAAATTTGGGCTGCTAACACTTTACATTTCTTGAAACCTCTCAAAAACTGATTACACTTGAAACGTGTAGTGTTTGTTGACACCTGAAGTAATAACCAACACCAAACATGATTATGGTAACATTTGTTAGGTTATTTTAATATAAACTGTATAAAAAAGTATGAACATAGGAAAATAGATCTGTAGTTGATACACACAGCTTTTGTAATAGATTTTCAAGGACATTTAAAAAATGTGCTTAAAACGCCCATCTATTCAGTGTGAAAGACAAAACAGAAGAAGTACATTTAATAACATAATTGGCGGTAATGCTTATTTGCAGGGGCGGCGATTTCTTTTCATGACGGGGGGGGGGGGGGGACGAAATCCGTATATTGAACAAAAACGTTGGGGGGGGGGATAAAAAAATCTGCATCCCACTCTAACATTATACATGCAGGCCTCGCAGAACGTTTTTCATAGAGGGGGAGGCTAAAGTATTTTATTAGGTAGAGCAAAGCGAGCATAGCAAGTGGAGCGTAAATTGGCGTGTGGTCCAGGGGCGTAGGCCCATGAAGCTCAGGGGTTTTAGGCATTTAATAACGGTCAGATGAGCATCCAGGAGCTCGTCTTAGAGCCCCTGGTGGGGTCCAGAGGGCAAACCGCCCGGAAGCTCGGGAAAAAACCATGCCGTTTCAGCAACATTTCTAAATCACTGGTATCGAGTAAGAAATAAATCAAGTTTGAATTTTATTAGGGGGGGGGGGCAACTGCCCCCAAGCCCCCCCCCCCTCATCATTACGCCAAGGCGAGGGAGCAAAGTGAACGAGAGGGGTAGAGGTTACGGAAGTGACTATCCCCTCACAGGTTTTTGAAGTTTTGTTGTATTAACAAATTACATACTTTAATTAGCAAAAGAATAGTATAAAACAAGCAATTTACCTTATTCACACTTCACTTTTCTAGAATATTTACTGTACACTTCGAAGAATATTATGCGGGGGAGCGAGAAGATTTTTGCATTTTTATTTGTCTAAACGCTGCACTCTAGGGCCCTCTGGAGCCTAAAAGTTTGTTGCAGTCTTTAGTCAGTATTTGCTATACACTTTTTTTCTCACTTTTTCACTTTTTCTGGGGGGGGGGGACGATCCCCCCTAAAGAAATTGAGGGGGACGTGTCCCCTCTCGTCCCCAAGGGATCGCCGCCCCTGCTTATTTGAGAGTGGAAAATTGCAAACATATGAGTATCTTATATGGCATCAAATGACCATTTTCTTCAGCAATGTGAGAGCTGAACAATTGCTAAACAATTTACATGTATAAATAGTGGAGAGAAAACTTTGGAATGAATGCAAATATTTTTTCCCCTTAAACCATAATTGCGTATCAATATCATTTCAATACCTTCATTACAACATACATGTAGAGCAAGAGATCAATGGACCTTGTATTTAACAGAGCCTGTGAAATTAGTGGCCACATCAATTACTATACTATATTACTATATTATCACTTGTGCCCTTGGGTAACTACATCGAAAATGTACCACAGATGATATTATCACTTGTGCCCTTGGGTAACTACATCGAAAATGTAACCACAGATGATTATTTTTTTAATATACCCCCCCCCCCTCATGCATAAACATCTGGCAACACTACGTACAAGAGACCTAAAAGTAATAATTTTCCACAATTGAGACCCTTAGGGGAGCACTGCCCCTGAGTCCTCATGAGGGGCAAGGTAATTAATGCGAACAAATTCAGATCCCCTCTCAAATGTCAAACTTTATTGAGTGCCAGCATTAAGTTTTAGAATCAAAGTTAAGAAATTGCTATATACATGTTCGGACATTTTTCGGGGGTTCCGTTGAGGGGCAAGGTACCTCAACAACCTATAATTTCTCATGAATGATCCCTGCCAAATTTGATTAAATTTTGTTGTGTATTTTTTCAAAGAAAAATTGAACAATTAACCTTAATGCTTCCTGCTGTAATATGTGCCAGAGGTATAAAAGTAAAGGTAATCTTTACTAAAGACCCCCCCCCCCCAAAAAAAAAAAAAAAAAAAAAAAAAAAAATATATATATATATATATATATATATATATATAAAAATTAAAAAAAAAAAAAAAAAATCCTCATATTAAAGGTACTATGTCCCTTTTGCAGCCAACCTCATATTCTGTAGAACTTTGCAGGAATTATTAATATGTCATGTATGTCCTCTCTGTAAAATATAAACGCTAGCAGTGTCCTAATATTCAAATTATGCAAGGTAACCCGTTTACTTGCTAGACTTCACTGTCAGACACTATTGAGTGACTGACTGGCTTTTTTTCTTCTCTGGTAATAACATACATGAAATGAGCTATAAAGGGTACATGACCATTTGTCTACATCAATAACCCACTTCTTGTGATGGCTAAAATTAAAAAACTGATTGAATCTTTGCGCAGCATAAAACACATGACCATTCGGTACAATGATCTGAAAATCAAGACTTTTACTTATTGGCCCATTTGAAGACTTTTTCAAGCCCCACTTTCTTTAGGGCAATTTTAAATTAGTATTATCTTTCAAATGCCGTTGGAATTTAACCTTTTCATTTGTTTTGGCCTGTAAATGGGACATAGTACCTTTAAAGGTAATACAAATGGGGGAATTTTGAAAATTGGGTTGATAGTGATTCTTTACAATTTTGATATATTTGGATGCCCATGTGGATGTATTATAAGCACTATCAAATTTAGCCCCTAAAACATTTCTGTTTTCGAGAAAAATTGAATATAAAAATTTACCGGTGCTCCCGGAAAATTTCGATAAATTTCAAATAGCGCCTACGGCCGTACAATGGTAACTGCGAAAATGAAAATCTAAGAATATGTAGTTGTGATATATAATTTCCAAACCGGAATAGCTAATTGGTCGATTTTAGTCAAGAAACATTGTTTAATAGCATAATTAATATATTGACCTTGAGAGGGAGTTATACAAAATAAAAAGTTAATTATTTACAATTTCATAACTTTAGAATCGATTCAACCGCGACAACGTTCACTGAATATTGTAAGATAGTATATGCTTCCAATATGTTTATTTGAACCAAATTCATGACCCCATACCAAAACGTTGTAATACCTTTAATAAGAAGCTCTGAATGTACACTATTTATTGAGCTGCTTAACAGTTAAATGAGGGCATTACAAGGACATAATTTTGGTAAGGCAAACAGCAATTTGCATTCCTAAAATTGAATTGGTAGTACAAATTGCATATTACAAAAATGACGAGATCTTTTCTGTTCTGAAATTGTTTGCTTAATTGTTTTGCATGTTTCATATTATTGTACTCTGTTTCTCGTATTATTGTAATGCTGGTGGGAAGCATATTTCCACATTGTGGACAAATACATCAAATCAATCAATCATGAGTGTCCCATTTGAGATTGGACTGCATAAACACTCCGAGCAGCTTGATAACATTGCAGTGTTGGACAGTGTGATCAGCAAGGATAAGGCGAGAGGGCATCGGACAAATAGCTCAGGCAATGTCCTGCTCAGATGATTCTGGGCAGTGGCGTTGAAGTCTGAGGCTTCTACAAATGCACTTCACCTGCCGAACACTATAAAGGGAAAGATAAATATATCACAGTTTAAACCCTAAATACAATTAAACATATACTATAATAATATTCCACCCAGCAACGCTTACATGTGCAAAGCAATCATATAATGATACATAAACAGGAGCCCCCAACAGTTGATTTAAAATTATGCAATAGCATTATCAGATATTTTATGAGCATGCCATTCAAAGCAATGATACATGAGGGTTGGTTTTATGTTATTAAGAAATGTTCCAGGTTTTTGAAAGATTTATATTTCGGGTTAGGTACATCCATGAATAAAATTAAAACAAATACAAAAACATTACGTATAAAAAAATTGTTTCATAGTTCATACCTCTCTTCCTGATGCCATCTCGATAATGCTCCATGAATACCCTGCTACCGTAAGAGGCAATCTGGTAAAGTACTGTGCATTATAGAATTTGTGAAATCAAGGAGCAAAACAATTTTTGTTAAACTTAGAAAAGCATCCACATATACAGTATAATAACTGTTTTCACATCTATTATATCAAGTGGTTAGCTTTGAAATACTAATTACTCATGTGTTAAGATCCTACTAATGGTTTACACATAAAGTGAAGTATTGCAGAACACTTTTGGGGTTCAAATCAAATGAATTGCACATTTACAATGACTTGAAAATATGTATGACTTGAAATATTTCAAAGATCAGACATTTAGGTCTGTGACATTGTTCCTGATTAAAAGAACATTAAGACTCGTAAGCATACCAATATAACCAGTACAGTTCTCTTGATGCCAATATTATAGAAATGGTAACCTCGCTCGATTCATAATGCGGAATGAGGATCGCTATTCATAATACGGGAAGAAGGTTGCTATTCATAATACGGGAAGAGGGTCGCTATACATAATACGGCCCACTGACAGGTCACGAATTGGCGTGGGGTCCAGGGGCGGAGCCCCCAGAAGCTCAGAGGTTTTGGGCAATAAATTACGGTCAGATGAGCATATTTTGATACCTTATTTGTGACACTGGCAGGACATGAATTGGCGTTGGGTCCACGGGACGGAGCCTCCAGAAGTTCAGGGGTTTTAGGCATTTTATAACGGTCACATAAGCATGCAGGGGCCCGCCTCAGGGCCCCTGGTGGGGTCGATGGGTGGAGCCCCAAAGCTCAGGGGTTTTTTGGCATTTAATAAAGGTAAGATGAGCAAATTTCGACACCTTATTATTTTGTGACAAAGGCAGGTCACTATTTTTTCTTTCTTTTTTCATGAATTTGCCATTTTCCAACAAACGCATAAATTTTAGCTTTCCTATTTCCCATTCCCTTCCTCCCCCCCCCCCCCGTTTTGGGGCGGGGGCGGGGGATGGGGGGGGGGGGGGGGGGGGAGGCAAGGGCTTTTTGCCCCCCGAACTATAACTTGTTGGCAGGAAAATTGCAACTCTTCTTCCTCTTCTTTCTTTCCCTTTCTCCCCTCTTTCCCTTCTTTTCCTTCTCTCTCTCTCTCTTTTTTTGCCGGGAGGGGGGGGGGGGGGAAGGCCCGCTGCCCCCCCTGGAACCGCGCCTGGTTATATACAATCTTTTCATAAATTATACACAATATAGCAAGATATATTTTCCATATAAGTAAGGAAGTTAGATTTTCAAGATTTTAAGCCATCAAGATATGATATTGTGACCGTTAGGCGTTACGCGAACGATGGCGTACCCTGTATTACCGGTATGTCTTGTTTTAAAGTATATTGTACCTTTTATCTTTGACGATTATATAAAGACATCCCCATTACATTCATGTATCTTATGAATCTGCCCCACTCCTGTGGTGACAAAAAATACAGTACAACTCAACACAAATATAATCCCATTCACCTATTGTAATTTGTAAACTTGATTTCAACCGCGACAACGATCACTGAATACTGTAGGATTGCATATGCTTCCAATATGTTCATTTGAACCAAATTCATGACCCCATACCAAAACTTTGTATTACCTTTAATACAATTTTGTTTGCTTATTTAATTTCGATGAATAGCGACCCTTTCTGTATTATGAATAGCGACCCTCTTATTGTATTATGAATAGCCACCCTCTTCTCGTATTATGAATAGCGACCCCCTTCTCGTATTATGAATAGCCACCCTCTTCTCCTTTATGAATAGCGACCCCCTTCTTCGATTATGAATAGCGGTTCTTACATGTATGAATAATGACCCTAATGAATAATGACCCTTTTCTCAAATTATGAATAGTGGTAATTATGAATAGCGGTCCTTATGAATAATAAGCAGATCTCATTTTAACAGACCTTTAGATGAGCATACATGTGGTATGTACACTGCATTTCAATTTTTAAACAAAAAGGGTAACTGCCCAATTCTCCATTGACAAATATAACAGGTCTTAAAAATAAAGTAGTCCTTTTTATATTTAGACTGGTGTCTATTGGACATTTCTAGTTCATACCTTTACAAATAAAAGCATTTCTTGTGCAAGCTTCATTAAGGTTCTTGTTAACATTGTTCAGATGAGAAAAATGGTGATAAGGTAGTGACTTCAATGCTCGATATACATTTAAAGATAATCTGAAAGTTTGAGTGAAAACAGGCTATCATTAATGATCAAAATTTGAAAAAAAAAATGATCTGATTAATTCCGGAATTCTCCCAACTATATTATCGTATGTATCAACTAGGTTTTTAGCAAGGACAATTTAAAAAAAAGTATTACAAGCCGTTCGACTGTAGTAACACTCCTTCATAAAGAAAACAACATATTAGGCCAGCCCCCAGGGGTTGTTAAAGAGAAGGGAATGCGAGGGATATGCAGGGAAACAACATCAGTGTCTGTAACAGCAGCTTAGCAATCTATAACCCATCATTATCTAAGATAATTTTTATTTTGTTATCATTTCAACGCATACACTCAATAAGGATACATTCAGCTTAGTTCCCATCATCCTGAGCTGGTTTGTATGGAGTGTTGATACATGGCAGTTGTACTACAAGTTTTAGGGCTTGCTTGCATGAACGCCAACCAGGTAATCTGTTGAATGAATAATAAAAGAAACATATGCAAACAACATCTAGTGATAAACTTTGCACATTATAAAACAAAAAGAAAAACATCAAAACATTTTTTTTTTTTACTCCAAGAGATGAATTTTTGTAAGATAATCACACTGTGAGTGGATTACCCTTTAGCGTTTACGGTTAGACTTCATGCATCGTAGGACTCTACGAGTTCGCTGCCCATCGACTAAAAAGTTATGAGTCTTATGTTTTTATCAAGTTTATGACAGAGATATAACCGTATCAGAGGCGTCATAAATACAAAGTCAGGATGTTGTCCTTAATTGGGAAAGAGGTCTTCGTTAAACATGTAGCGGACAAGTAGCTTACTAAAGCTGATTTGGTCAAGAAGTTAGACTTATGACGGTTTCGAGAAACTGGCCCCTGGCCTGGGTGCTAGCCGTAATTTGCTAAATAGACTAGTAAATACCTAATAGTAATATAGATCTAACTTAAAGTGACTTAGTAACATTGCCTCAGATACTGAAACAAAATCATGGATTTAGCTCATGCTGCAATCATAATTTTAAACCTTTAAACCTTTAGCTTAGCCTCTGTTAGGTCAGTCAGGAATCCCGTGACTTTTACAAGCCAATCGTCTGTCTCATTATCAAGTTATTTATGATTGGAAATCGAAATCAAACTTTGCGTTTTCCTAACGGTTTTTATAAACTAGGGCCTAAGCCTAGTCTATTCAGGAAAATAAGTATGGTAAAACCGGTCACTCAAAGATTATTACTTTTTTGAGCCACTTCATGATCATTTTCAAGCGAAATTTGTTTAGGGCTTCAATATTCAGTAGGGAAGCTGGTACAAGAATAAGGATCATCTGCATTTTCGCAGACGTTTCCAATTTCAAATCCACGCGTCGGTGATGCGAAAAACGGATTCCGCGATGTTTTTATTGATGCATTTTACATTGACTTAAGTTTGTACAGAGACGTTCACATAATAATATAAATCCTCGAGAAGACGGACAACACATAAAAGAAGATGGCGCTTGTTTAGAAACCTATCCAAAATTTGAACGTAACTCTGGCATGGAGATACCCTACTAAAACATACCCAAAATGAAGTAAATATTCATTAAATGTCCAAATAAAAATCATGAGTTAACAGTTGTTATGTTTATTACCTGTTTCGTGTCAATTTTCTTGTTATTTTTGGAGTATTTTTCGGAAAAACGATGATATCAGTATACCTACACTTTTTCATGGCAAACTGCTGCACAATACAAGTACAAACCGATGGTAGGTTGCGGGCGGATGCGCGCCTGTGTGAAGTAATGTCTCGGATCCTCATTACGGTAGATAGCTTCACACAGGCGTGCACCCGCCCGCAACTCACCATCGATATGCACTTGTATTGTGCAGCGGTTTGCCGTGAAACCTGAGAAAAAATGTATACTAATATCATTGTTTTTCCGAAAAATACTCCAAAAAAATCAAAAAAATTGACACGAAACAGGTAATAAACATAACAACTTTTAACTCATGATTTTTATTTGGACATTTAATGAATATTTAGATCTACTTCATTTTTGGTCTAGACTATGTTATAGTAGGGTATCTCCACGCCGGAGTTACGGGTCAAATTTTAGATACATTTCTGAATAAACGCCAAGGAGACTGGGGTTATTTTCTTACAAGGAATCTTTTTTTTTGCATGCCCTGAAACCCGCAGAGTGCCGATGAAAACAAGACGTTCGCGAACTCAATTTGTCCGTTTTTATGACTAGGATATCCTTGTTTATGCAGACGATCCTCATTATCGGACCAGCGCCTCTAATCATGTCATAAAATAATGATATTACACTGTATCACAGACATAGCTATAAATAACACGTAGATCTAGGGCCATGCATGATTGCATCTCAGAGTCAGACTTAACATTGTTAAACGATCCCTTGCCTTGGATTTAAGTAATAGATCTATCATGATTTGTAGATCTAGATCTAGATCTGGTGCTTGCCTACATCGAATTGAATCAGCTCAGCTCAGCTCAGCTCAGCTCAGTTTGCGTCAAGTTGACGATTACGAGTGTGCTATTGCAATGTACTCTGTCAGTCTTTGTTGACTCAGTTTGAGAAATTGAGTGGGCTAGTATGTAGGCCTACTAATAAAAGTAGGCCTAGATCTATCATCTAGATCAATAACATTACTCAATAGATATTACAACATGGAAATGAATGTATGGGAAAATGCATTGAGTGCATCTAGACCATTAATTGCATAGTCTACCGGGTAATTTTTTCCGCTGTGCAATTACTTTTATCCCTATCTTGTCAAACATAAAATACAAATAGATCTAGAGCATAATATGAAGTTAAACCTACCATTTTCACAGAAATCATCGTAAAAACGTCTCGTCATAATAATCGTCTTCAATCAAGCTAGGGCTGGTTTTGTTTACGAAGCGCCCGCCAGGAGAGTACACGATAGAGTACACGATAGAGTACACGATAAAATTGACGATATCGTGAACTTTATCAATTCACGATATCGTCAATTTCATCGTGAAAAGTTCACGATGAAGTTCACGATATCGTCAATTTCGTGAATTTCTTCGTGAAAAATTGGCGATAAAATTCACGATATCGTCAATTTTATCGCCAATTTTTCGCGATTTAGTCTATTCGCGATGTCCCTTCAGGGCCACCATACTAAAACGACAATGTTTCTATGTTCCATGTAGCCGAAACTGTTCTTAGAGAAAGATATTGACCTGATTTATTATGTTCTCAAATTAATTTTCAAATATATCTTTCTTTTGCTACACTACGTCTTGCTGGAATAAAAAAGCCCGAACGCGCAATTTAACTTCCCGGCAAAAGGTAGTGTAGCGCTTACCCCCCCCCCCCCACCCCCACTCTGTGAGCAGATGTATACCATGCGTGTTCCCAAAATGTCCGTTAAAAGGGGTACCTTTCACGCACCAAATTCCGGCCCGTATTGACTTTACACACCGGACTTAGGGGGATGTTTTCAAAAGGAGGGAATATGCATATGCGTACCCTAAATAACAGTGGGGGGGGGGGGGGGGGGGGGGGGGAGCGCTACGCGACGTTATGATTTATGTGATAATACAGATTGTGTATTCATGGATGTGTTTGGAATGTGAATTTTACAATCGCATCAAATAAACGGGCGGCTCCTAGTCGTCGGGCAAGCAATAACTAATGATATTTTACAGTGTATAGGTGTGTTTAATGTGTTTAGTCTGTACGTTCATTTCTTGCTCTTGCATAGGGATTGAAAGGGGTGAAAGGATTAGGAACATGTTGAAGAAGTTATACAAAAGACCACCTGTTTCTTGAGGGAAAGGGGGCAGGGATTTTCCTAAAGGACAGGTATTACCCTAATGTAATATAATAGTGTTCCTTTATTTGTTGATTGTGAATTCTAACTAAATACGTAATATATCTTAATATACCAAGTTTGCTTCCTTTAAATTATACCCATTTCCAATATGTGTTGTTTATTATCTGGCTAACATATTAGATTACTTTCTAATTCCAGAATGATGGTCAACTCCAAACAGAGGGCTGCCAGCTATCTACTAAGATGAACAAGAAGATGTGGTCCTATCTCAGATCATTTGCCTCACTGAACCAGCTTTGGATCTCAGACTCCTCTCTCAGTTTCCCTCCATCTCCTTCTGAGCTTCCATCCATCACAAAGCTATCGGCCGAGAGAGTGACGTCACAAAGCTATGGTGGTCTGCTCTCATCGCTCCCTGGCTTGATAGATATCGATATCATTATCGATGATGCAGAGAGAGACATACCTGAGATCACGGCTGTTCTTCATCGGACCATAGGACAGCAGCTCAAAAACATCGAGCTAACAGCACTGGACTCACTCCCATCAGAGAAGAACCGTGTATCGAGTGAGACGATTAGAGGACTGGGTGATCTGATCATAGAACAAACCAAGAACCTGCAGCGGCTAGATCTGAAATGGGTGAAGTGCACAGACGAGGAAGACTTGGTTTCCTTATCGAGTGCTCCAGACATGTAAAGACGATGTCAGCTGTGAGGTAGGTTCTTGTTCAAATCTTGTATTAAATAGATTAAAATTTTACTAGACGATCCTGTTTAGTTAGTCTTTCCTGAAAAGGCATAATAATAGAAATGCGTGAAGGGATGCAAAGGTTAAAACGTGGGTGTAATTTCCAAGTCTTTGACTGAAAATTAGGATGGGTTTTGTTTGATTATCGCTCTTAATTGTTATTTTATAATTTGTAATGTACACTGTACAGTAGCAATGAATATAATTTGAATGCCTGTATTGAAAATTTATATATGCAGTTGTATGTATTATTATGAACCGTTGGAAGCTAAATATAATGTAAGTCCATGTTGACTTAAAATACAAACCGTATCATTAAACATTAACTATCAATATCATGAATTGTCACTATTATTAGTAGTAGTAGAAGTAGTATTACAATTAATCAGTATTATGTTATCATTCTTGCCAATACTATAATCCTCAGTAGGCCTACCATTATTATCAAACATAAAGACCAGTTCTGGTCATGCGATTGCATTGTGAAAGAAACGTTGTGGAATCGATCAGAAAAGGTTGATCATCTAACATATAAGTATTGGTGTGTACTGCAAGGTTCTGGAATCATCAAAATGTTAAGAAGTTTGGCCCAGTCTTGGAAAAGTTACATGCACTGTACACAGAAAGATGTACAACCTCTATACGGGACTACGCGACACATGCGCGATATCTGTCCGTTCCAGATAGGTATAGTAATTTACCAAATATATCAATTAGTAGGCGGTTTCTCGACAGAATTTGTATCATCACGTATTAGTCAAAACATATCCTCCCACATGATTGGTATTAAGAGCTTCCATTTCATTGTTTTAGAGGGGGGGGGGGGGGGGCTTTCCAAAACTGGTCTTTACCTTTAATACCTCGTTTATTACTATTAATATGATCATTGTTATT